TCAAAAACGACCTTCAGTCAGTTAACTAGGGCAAATGATAGCTTGTTAATTTTAACACCTCCAAAACTAAACTGCTCTATTAATCATCTGAGTGAACCCTTTTGCCTTCCAGCATGGCTGATGCTAACTGCCAGAAGAGTGACTCATTGCACCTACTCAGGATAACCTTTTCAGCTGACAAGAAGTGGAAAATCTATATTGAATCCATTGCTAGGTCAGCTTCTAAGAAAGTTGGTTGACTGTTGTGCTAAACAATTTTTCTCTCCAGAATCTATCTCTACAGTTACCATTCATCCATGCTTAGAATATTACTGCCACATATAGTCCAGTGATCCTGCTATAGATTTAGAGATCCTTGATAAAATCCAAAGAATCAGCAATATCATTGGTCCTGATGTTGCACCTCAGCTTCAGTCACTTTCCCATTGCTGTAAAGTTGCTTCCTGTGGCTTTTCTATAAATACTTTCATGGTAATTGTTCGGAGGAGCTCTTCACTATTGTACCTAGACTTTATGAATATAAGTGCAGTACTAGACTGGTTTTGAGGTCTCATCGATATACAGATGAGTTAGCTAGATGTAACTAAGTTCTATGCAGTCTCTTGTTTGTGCAACTCCTTTTTGACTCCATGCTTTTCAGCTGACTTTAATCTTCAAAAATTTAAATGCAATGTCAATCGCTATTTACTGTCTTGCTGACTACTCCTCTTCTGTACTTGCTCCTTAGTAATGTTTTTGTTTTCTAATTCTTCCATACCCTGTAATCCACTGTGTCTTAGTGACTGAACTTGATCAATAAAATAAATATGTATAGCAGCTTACATTAATAATTTCAGGTAAATCATTTGAGAAAAAAAAAAAAAAAAAATTAAAATAATTGTAAACCTTTTGCTTTCTAATCCATTACATACACTCAAGTTCTAAATACAAGGGGTGGCAAGGTTTTTAAAAATTTTCAGTAATGAAACGCTGACAATGCTTGTAAGTTAAGGGGAGGAAATATGAATATTTAAAAGGTGTGGTTGGAATAAAGATGTCTCAGTGGACTTTAAAAATAAATAAAAATGCTGATCCATCTATTTGAAATTTAAAACGTAGTGTTCAAAAGCTCAACTGAATGTCAATTTTAATTGATCACTTATTCCATTAATGTTTTTAGGATCCTTTAGAACAGCAATACGTATTCTGTCACTTTATTGTCATACCTGATTTTACAATGAAGACAAGATTAAAATCTGCATACAATTTCAAAATGCAATGTTTTGCTAAAATGTTCGTAAGGGGGATATAGCCATTGTATAAAAAGCTTAATAAAAAAAATGCTATTTTAAAGAAATAGCAATGTTTACTTAAATTAACTGGAAACAGTATCCTAATGTCAAAATTAACAATGGATAAAACAGTAATGCCATATACGTTAACAATAACATGCTCATTTATTTTCAGAATCATAAGAGTGATTAATAGATGGTTAAAAATGACATGGAACAGATTTAAAGAGTAGTTACTTATTAGTTTTTTTCAAAATGGCTTTCTTACTCAAATTTCGGAAGCATTTTACAAAATGAACAATATAGCCAAACTTAAAGACAGAAATCCTAAACTGAGAAGCACAGAAAAAAAATTACGAACTATTCTTTAAATTTTGTAAACCCTATTTGATGCCAGAAAATCAACTGAATGTGTTTCCAAGAGAATTGGTTTATGAGAATTTAATGAACTTACAAAGCAACAGTTTTTCGTTGGTGAATAGAAAAGGAAAAAAGTTCCTGGAGTTCAAATTCTAAATTGAAAACAGTTTTAAATCAATGATTGAAGGATACAGAAAACCTAAGCAGCTAAGACATTATATGATTGGAAAGCTGGGACACACTAAAATGTCCAGCCACCTAGTTAATTATACCTCAAACTAGCAATCACAAAGTTAAATGTGGCAACCGTTTCAAAATCAGTGCCTGTCCACTGTTAAATTAGATAGATTTTGCACAAGTACCTAACGACCTTATAAGAAGATATTTAAAGCTGAGGAAAGAGTTTTGTAAATAACGTACGCAAAAGGCATCTTGTTAAAAATGGAGGAGACAATAAGACAGCTGTCCCAGAAAATTCAAGATTCTCTGCGGATATAATGGTTCAACACCAATGTTTACAGGGCTAGGATACGTGAAAAGAAAATTATAGAGTACAAAGAATTTCTCTATAAAAACTTACATTTAACCAAAAACTTTAATATCAAATTTTTAAAAAGTTCATTATCAGCAGTGTTTTTTTCTTTTCAGTTAAGCAACGACGGCAATAAAAAGTAAAGGGGTGCAAAAACATACACAGTTTAAGAGAAAAGGTTGCTTTAGTAACAAGAGGAGATAAACTCTGAAGATTTGTTAATCTTGTCTTGAACCTAATTAGAGAGAGGGGGTATCTAAATAAATATTTGTTGACTGTTGGAATCTATTGTTTATGTAAATTCAGTGTCTACAGTAAATTGTCCAGCGTCTGATTGTGAAAAAAAAAAAAAGAAGAAACGAACGCACACGAAAATGTCGTTATTTACAAGAAACAAGACAAAATGAAAAAAAAAAAAAACACAATAGGAGTAGTTTATGAATAAAATGAAATCGTTTAAAAAAAGAGCAAAAAACATCGATTCACAAAAACCTCATTAATGAACAAAAATACATTTTTTCGGAAACGATAACTTACAAATTAAATTACTTCTCCATACAAGAAACAGCTTGCTTGAAAATCAAAGTCTCCACGACACAAGTTACTGTTTGTTTAGCAGCTAAATTCAAACGAACAGTTGGGAAAGATTGCTTTTCAATCAGATTCTAAAAATGAATGAAGTGTGAGAAAATCATACGTGTAAATTTTTTCTCATGTCCTGTGAGATCTTGCTTGTTTGGCTAAATAAATTAGGGGAGGGGGAAGCGTTGGCTAAAATCAGGAATAAACAGATTTCTCAGCAAACGAAAAGATGACTATCAAATAAATAAAATGAGAAAAATGTTTACAATTTTACATCTGAAGTCTTACAAATTTGAAATACATAACAAAAAAACAAACAGCAGTTACGGACGATTTCCCCAATTTTTTACACCAGCTGGCAATAAACGAATAAAAAAAATGTTCCTGAAATAAGGCCCCCAAAAAGTGATAAAAAAGTGTAAGGCTTAACTTGTTATTGCTGGTAACAATATCGTCTGGCTGTTCAGTGAATGAAACAATTTTGTTGGTTCCTTCCTTGTTTTTTTTTTTTTTTTAAAAAAAAAAAAAAAAAAAAAAAAAAAAGTTTTCTTATGGCCGAGTAAGCGAGTAGAGTTTTAAAGAAAACGAGAAAAGAAAGGAAAGACGAAATATCAACATTCATTAAGTCTCCATCGTTTCGTGGCAAGAAAGATAAATTAAAAGACGGTTACAAAAAAGTTTGGCGTTTGTTAACTGAACAAATTCACGATGTAAGAATTAAAAATTAAATTTTCATCCCAAATTCTTGCGGTTCTTCAGCCATAAAAAGATAGTTGTTTTTTTTTTTTTTTTTTAGTTAAAGTGGTAATTTTTAAAGTTTAACCCAATATAGAGCAGTTTAAAGAAAGAAGTTATATTGAATAAGAATCACTCTACAGCTGAGTTTAATTACTTTAAGGAAATCATTTTATGACATTTCCTAAGCAAGCAATGAAAAATATTCATTTAGTTTAAAAGATGAAGTCTCCTAATTTCGTTCTGTAGGACATCAGTGCTAGTAGTAAGCAAAGCAGAACGTAGCTTGGATTACATAAACCTGCACTAAGAACTTCTCACATATTTTCACAAATCAACTCTAAGAATAGGTTGAGCGTACATTAATCTTTTAAGTTTTATTAATCAGGAAAGACACTAACACCTTCCGTTCATTAAAATGTTTTGTTTTTTTTTTTTTTTAATAACAATATAAAATTTAATGAAATGATAACTTTTCTGAAAAAAAAAAAAAAAAAGTTTCGTTTCGATTTGAGCATTCGTGAAAAAAAAAAAAAAAAAAAAAACAGAAACGAGTAATTACAACAGGACAAAGCACAGCATTTGCATTTCTAATTGGATTGAACGAACAGTAAATTTTAAGGCTGTGGTTTTAAGAGTATTAGTCACGTTAATGGAAATTAAACTGACACAAGCAGAAATGAGTTACTCTTCCTTCACGAAAAGTTTAGGATCCATTAAAAAAAAAGAAAAAAAATGGACCAACTTAAATAACATTTTATAAAGTTTGCTTGTTAAACAAATAATTCTTGTTGATGAGGAACTTTGTGCTAGAAAAAAAAACTTCAGATTTAAATTAGATCTGAAGAAAGGTCATGGTCCCTTAAAAAAAAGTAAATAAAAAAAAATGAACTTTCGCTGGAAAAGTGGTTAATGATGGCATTAAGAAATAAGGATGTTGACTTAATACATAAAAATAGATTAGTTATAGATAGACAAAATAATAAGTGGAAATAGTAACGTTTAATTGATAAGTAATTAATATTTTAATTAAAAGAGAGCTAAATTCAAAAATATTCAACGTAATATTACAAACCACCGGCAAGTAAAGTGATAAAATAAATTAGTAATCTCCTTTACGTCCATGTTTTGATTAGTAATAACCACGTTATTTTTATTTATTTTTATTTGAGAATAGTCTCATCACCATTTTTGAGAAATTATGCCCCTACGATTGGAAGAGGGCCCCGACGAGAGAGAGAAAGGAAAGTAAGCAAGGTTACCGTATTTGAACGAAAGAAAAGAAAAATAAATTAAACATCTACAAAGACATACACCATAAATTTTGTTAGGATATCAACGTTAATCGAAATAAAATAAAATGTATATTTTTTTTGTAGGAGTGTGCAAACGAAATGTGTATGAGGAGTAGGACAAGACAAAAAAACACTGTTAGTAAGCATTCATACATGCTAGTCCCTGCAGATGACCGTTTTTCTACCTTAAAAGACACTGGTGAACAGAAACACAAGCAGACCCACCTTTACAATAAATGCACGTAAGTAAATACACCAACTTTTTGTTTGTGTGTAGCTTTTCTTACTTCTTTTAGTCGTCATCTGCCATCTTGGTATGCGGCGTTTGGCCTGTGCTGCTGCTGTTCCCAGCATGCACTACTCGACAAGAGAAAGGAAGAGGAGGAAATTAGTTTCTAACTTGGCAGACATTGAAGTCCCCCCCACCTCCCAAGTGATTCCGATACATTTCTCTGACTCACTCTCTAAATTGTTTCTGCTTTAGCTACACCTCTTCTTGTGTGTGTGTTTTTTTCACTCTATCTTTACCTGCTTTCTCAATTTACCTTCGATGTACCTTCGAATATCACGTATGTATAGGGTTGCTTGTTTTAACTGTGTTAGTTTGCCTATTTCTACCAACGGGAGTGGTCTTCCGTGATTTAAAGCTCAAGGATTTCGAATGCTGATTTTTAAAGACAACCGGGCTTCCCCACTTAATGGATAAATGCCGCAACACGATCATCATATAACCCATTCTATATGATGGCCTTGTGCCGGACGAAACTAAGTTTAGTAATTTATGCTTTGATTTGTATTTTAATTTTCTTCTACCCTTTTAGTAGTAACTAAACTTTGTAAATCTAATTTCTAAAAAATGTTTATTTTATTTATTTATTTATAAAAAACTTTAAAAGTTTTTTCTTTCATCTTTTGTGTCAACTCAAGTGAATTCAATAATCATCGCCAACAATCATTCTCGTTAGTATTACTATTATTCTTCGTTATTATTTTTTTTAAAAATGATTCACCCAAATGATATCAAACCATTTTTTGCCAACTAACTAAATAAAAGTTAAAAAAAACAATATTCAAATATGAAGGAAATATTTTTTTAAATAATTCAAATTTTGGATTTCAAATTCAAGGAAATACAAGTACACATGTTCTGAAAAAAGATAACATTGCTCTCTTTGAAACTTTTTTTGGCAGTCTGAGTATTAGGTTTTTATTGTTTTGTTTTGTTTTTTTTTACAAAGAAAGAAGAAAACAAATAGGGGCAGTGGTGCCACTTTAAGTCAATTAAAAAAATTACATCGAGTCACGTGATTGTGAAGATAAAAGGAAAACGTACTTAAGACAAATTGTATATTGATTTGCGCTGCCATTTTCAAGCAGTACAAGTAATTCTGAAAAAAAAAGTAAAAACAAATGAATTATTCTGTCTCATGTTGCGATAATTTTTGAAAATGTGCATGAAAAAAGAAAACAAAGGCGGATAATTCCATGAGGTCAAATAATTCCTGCATTAACAACTTTCGTACATAAAAAAAATATCTTCACCTGTAGAGAATTAATTTTTCGCTTAAGTAAAGTCAGGATCTGAAGATAATGAATACTTATTTTGAAATGTTAAACTCATCCTTCTCAATTGAATGATTGATGCGACATAATCTCACTCTTCGTTATTTGCCCATTTACAGTAATTTTTGTAAAATTTTTACCTTAAACATTTTTATTTTTTAGGTGAATAACATTTTACTCCTTTGTTCTAAAATTTTCGTTAAAATTAATAAAAGAGACAAATGCGTTCATTTGAGAGACAGAGAGGTCAGAAAAGCAATTACTTTGCGTTCGTACAATCTCCAGATTTTCAGCAACTAAAACTTGACCTCAAGGTCATCTGCTGCAATTGTATCATCTCCATAAATGCTATTTTCAAGTCGTTCATAAATTCTGAAAAACTATAAAAATGTATATGGTAAAAAAATTATATAAGGATTATTAAAGTTAAAGCTAAATAAAAAAAAATATTCTAGGATTGTTTATTTGTTTTGAGGGGAGTGTTTGAAATACATTAATAAAAGAAAAAGAAGAATGTTACTAACATGCATTCTTTAACATCTGTGTATATTTCTGAGGTGAGATATTGTAACTATTTACACTTTAAACTGGACTGTTGCCCTAAGCTTTATTGTCATGTTCACGATGTTTCAGCTGTTGTACACTCCAGCCTTCTTCAGGTGATATACAAGGACATATGTCGGTTGAAGTTATCAAAGAGTTGTGAGTTTAATACCTACCCACAGCAGAGGTGAGCAAAAATTTGGAGTGTTGAATTACTAAAGGGAAATAACTGAAACTGAGATATCCAGAAAAGTCATGGCATGTGGAACTAGAACAATCTACCGTAGTGGACGAAATAAAGGGTTTGGTTCATAATTCCAATGTATATAACCTAAAGGCCAATGGCTGATCATGAATATGACAATAAATATGAGGACATCTGTTCAAGCAATGTAAATAGTGTAAATATGTATTCTTTAAATAAAAATAACTGCTATAATGAAGTCAGTTAATTATAAATGGCTTGAATAGAATTCAATGTGGAAAACTTTGTATAAGCGAGGATAAAATTGATATTGTAAAATAATTGCCAAAATGAAAGTTGATGGTTTGTAAAAAAGATACATGTATAAAATTTGGTTTACAAAAATTTGTAAAATGATGTTTATGGCCTAAAAACACACCTGAATGAAGTTTGCAAACAGACGTCATTTGAAGAGATACATTTGTGATTTTTTTAACCAATGGGGAAAGTAAGTCACAACTCCATGGTATGAAATTTCCAATTCAAATCAGAGCTGATATGTGGCTATTTAAGAAGTCTGGTTTGTCTGACAGGCAGAAAAGATTTTGCTGTCACATGCAAAAGTTATTGACAATTGTTGTGACAGCAGTTTATGATTTAAATTGGTGTCGATATATGGCTATTTAAAAAGTCTGGTTTGTCCAAAATCATTACTAGTTGTTCGGAGCTGAACTTAGATGAAGAAAAAAAAAGAAAGCACAATGGTTTCAGCATTCACAAGGATGATGACAAAAAGAAAAAAATTAAAGAAAAAGAAGTAACTTAGAAGAGGGAGAAAAGCTGAACAACAGAAAAGAGAAAATTTTACAAATTTAGGGAGATATACAATTATCTTTCTATAGTTATTTGTGAAATTTTGCTGCAAATTTAGATTTTGAAATTATTATAAAAATATGAGATTTATCTCATCTCAGTTTGTAAAACTGAACTGTTGTTTGAATTTGCCATCCTTTGACAGTTAAACAATATGAAGTAAGTGAAAATTTTGTTGATAGTAATAATAATTGTTTTTATGAGCCCAACAGAATTGTAATTAGAACTTGTTATTTTGCCTAAGGAAAATTTTGTGTAAGCTTGTTTTGTAAATTCTGCATTTTGTGCTATTATTATTTTTTTATGTGATTTTAATAAATGTATATTTCTTCCAAATTTAAAATTTCATATTGGAGAAAGTTTTGAGTTGTTTATGCCTTTCATAATCTTTGGGATAAGAGATTGACATTCTCTGTTCTCCTCCTATTCCTTCCCCCACCAAATCCTTTTATTCTTACATCTTAAATGCAAAGAAAGTAAATTTGTTTTTGTTTAAACAAGACTCAGCTTTGTGAAATTTGGAGGAACATATTAACCCTCCTGGCTAGATAACAATTCTTTAGTAATATATGCATGGTAAAAACTAAATAGAAAAAAATTTCAACAAAAAAAAATTCAGTTCAGAGAAAACTTAACTTTAAATACAGAAAACAAAAATTTTTGTTAACATAAAATTCAGTTTTGAAACTAAAATAAATTTTAAGTTAAGCGGGGACTTATCTTCAACATTTTCCTTTTCGGACTAACATTTTCAATTGACATGAAGTGGAAATAGTCAATTTTTTCACCAGAATCTATCTTAAATATTTATAAGACTACCATTTGTCCACACTTTGAATATTGCTGCTACATCTGGTCTAGTGTTATTATTATATATTTAGAGATTCTTGACAAAATTGAAAGAAGAATCTGAATTTTTATTGGTCCTGACCTGGCATCTCGGCTTCAGTCACTTTTCCACTACCATAAACAAAGCTTCTCTGTACCTTTTCTATAAATACTTTCATGTTAATTGCTCTGATGAACTTTTTTTTATAGTACCTAGTCTTTATAAATTGAAGCACAGTACTAGATTGGCATCAAGGTCTCTTTATTTTACAGTTGAAATGGCTAGATTTAACTGTAAGTTCTATTCTAACAATTTCTTCTGATTGCATTTCTCACTTGTGAAACTCTCTTTTGGCTTCTTGCTTCCCAATCAACTTTGATCTTCAAAAATTTAAATGCAATGTCAATCTTTATCTTATCTTCTTAATTCTTATTCTTCTATCATCCTGTCTCCTTAATAGTAGTTTTTTCTCATATTCTCTAACACTCAGTAATCTCTTGCATCCTAGTGGCTTTGTTGCTTTGCTTGGAATGAAATGATTAAAAAACTCAGTCTCATTCACAAATTTAGACTTCTGAATCTTAACCTTTATTTCACCACAGAAACTAAAATAAATTATATGTGTGAACTTTTAAGATTCTCTGATTTAATTTTAAAGTAAAAATCAACTTTTAAAATAATAATTAAAACATTTGAGTTAAGAGTAAACTTAACTTTAAAAATAAACCATAAAAAATAGTGTTAACATAAAACTAAAAAAAAATAATTACCTCAATTTAAAAGGTACCTTTAAATTTAGATATAGAAGCCTTCAAAAACTATCTCACCCAATATAAAAATTGGATGCCAGGAGTAAGAGTAAAAATGTTAAATTACAGTATTTGAGAGGATATCTTGTGGATTATTCTTTGCAGATTATCCAACATTTAACAATTACAAATGAGAATTGCAACAACACCATTCAGTTATTAAAATAATATTTTGATCATGACTATATAGTAAATGAGATATTAAAACAAATTTTTTTTTCATAATAATGTTCACTCTGCACAAGGTTCAAGAGCCACTCAAGGTAGAGTGTTACAGAATAAGAAGAGGCACACTTTATGAGGATATCGGTTAACACTAGACTTGAACAAATTAAGATTGTAGTGATTGGAAAAGCATCCCTTTGGGAGTCAGTTCCACAAAGTAGTGGTTTGTAGGAAGAAGCTGTTCTAGTTGAATTTACATCAATGGAATGCAAAGGACGTGGGTGGTTCACTACAATGTGCATGGCATAGCAGGTCTTTGCCATGAAAGTTAGAACTGGTGGAACAAAGAAATATATTTTGCCTGGGCACTTTCCATGGAAATAGCATA